CTGAGAGCCCAAATCTTCACAGTAAAACCAGCGCTCGAATAATGAATCGGTCGTTCCTTCTACGTAATACCTGAAGGAGAGAAAATAATCGTGAAGCTAAATTTGAAGAACATTATACGTCCATTAGGTTAAATCTAAAGGCCATGTCAGGTACATTTTCATTTACGGTTTTTCGTTTTGGAATCATTGCCATGCGAAGGAAAGAGAAGCAGAGAGGGCGAGAGAGAGAGGAGACAGAGGAAGGAGATAGATGAGCAGAGAGGAGAGAGTGAGGAAGAAGCACTGGAGACAGATGAAGAGAGAAACAGAGAGAAGAGAGAGAGAGAGATGAGAGACGAGAGAGAGAGGTTATATATATACTATATATATAATATATATAATATATATATATGATATGTTGTTGTTTGTGTGTGTGTGAGGTGGGTAGTGTGTTGTGTTGTGTCCTTGTTGTGTGGTGTGTGTGTGGCGTGTGTGTGTGTGTTGTGAGTGTGTAATAGGGAGGACGGAAGAGGGGGGAGAGAGGAGGGGGAGAAGAGAGAGAGGGAGAGAGTGAGAGCGAGAGAGAGAGAAGAGACCGAGAGAAGGAGAGGAGGAGAGAGATGAAGAGAGAGAGAGAGAGAGAGAGAGAGGAGGAGAGAGAGAGAGAGAGAGAGAAGAGAGAGAAGAGAGAGAAGAGAGAAGAGGAGAGAGAGATGAGAGGGAGAGAGAGAGAGACTGAGAGAGAGGCCAGAGAGAGAGAGCGAGAGGAAGGGGTGAGGAGAGGACGGGAGAGAGAGGGGGGGAGAGAGGGGCGAAGAGAGAGGGGGGAGAAGAGAAGAGGGGAGTGAGAGAGAGAGAGAAGCGAGAGAGAAGGAGAGAGATGAGAGAGAGAGAAGAGAGAAGAGAGAGAGAGAGAGAGAGAGAGAGAGAGAGAGAGAGAGAGAGAATGAGGAAGTGAAAGCAAAGGAGAAAGACTTTTTTTTTTCATTTTTTCTTTTCCTTTCCTTTTTACCATGTCCCAATATTAGTAGTCTGTGATGAGACAGACTTTCAGACAGACCTCTTGTAGTTTTCGTCAGCTGTTAAGAGTTGCCTATACTTTCACCGGTTTAGTGCAATTGTAATACTTTTTCCACAATTAGCTCTTTAAAGTAAATGGTAACTGCATTCAGTCATTGGCCGTTGTTACTCTTATCTTGCCTGTAAGACATTTTCTTAATTTTCAGCGATAATCTAGCACGTAAAAAATGATCCACTTCCTGGTTGGTTGGTTGGGTTGGGTTGGGTTTGGTTGGTTGGGTGGGTTGGGTGGGGTTGGGTTGGGTTGGTTGGGTTGGGTTGGGTTGGGTTGGTTGGGTTGGGTTGTTGGGTTGTTTAGGTTAGGTTAGGTGGTTAGTTAGGTTAGTTTGGGTTAGTTGGTTGGGTTGGGTAGGTTAGGTTAGGTTAGGTTAGTTAGTTTAGGTTAGGTTTAGGTTAGGTTATAGGTTGGGTTGGGTTAGGTTGGGTCAGGTTAAGTTAGGTTGGGTCTGGGTTGGGTTAGGTTAGGTGTGGTTAGGTTGGGTTGGGTGTTGGGTTAGGTTAAGTTGGTTGGGTTAGGTATTAGGCGTTGGGTTGTTAGGTTAAGTTTGGTTAGGTTAGGTGTAGGGTTAGGATTTGGGTTAGGTTAGGTTGGATTAAGGTTGGTTAGCTTTAGGTTGGATTAATTAGGTTGAGTGGGCTTGGGTTGGGTTGCTAGGTTAGGTTGGGCTTAGGTTGGATTAGTTAGGTTAGGTTAGGTTAGGTGAGGTTGGGTTAGGTTAGAATGGATGCAGTTAGGTTAGGACTGGTTTAGGTTAGGTTAGGTTAGGTTGGATTAGGTTAGGTTAGGTATTAGTTAGTTAGGTAGGTTAGTTAGGTTAGATTGGGTTGGGTTAGGTTAGATGGATTAAGGTTAGTTAGGTTAGTTAGGTTGGATTAGTTGGTGGGTAGGTTGGGATAGTCAGGTTAGGTTAGTTAGGTTTAGAGTGCGTTGTTGGGTTGAGTTGGGTTGGTTGGTTGGTTGGGTTGCGGTTAGGTTGGATTAGGTTAGGTTAGGTTAGGTTGAATTAGTTAGGTTAGGTTGGAGTTAGGTTAGGTTAGGTTAGGTTAGGTTAGGTTAGGTTAGGTTGGATTAGGTTAGGTTAGGTTAGGTTGGATTAGATTAGGTTGAGTTGGGTTGGGTTGGGTTGGCTTAGGTTAGGTTATTTAGGTTAGGTTGGTTAGGGTTGGATTAGATTAGGTTTAGGTTAGTTTAGTTGGATTAGGTTAGGGTTAGGTTAGGTATAGGTTAGTTTGGGTTAGTTAGGTGGTTAGGTTGTTAGGTTAGGTTGGAGTTAGTTAGGTTAGGTTAGGTTATTAGGGTTAGGTTAGGTTAGGTTAGATTGGGTTGGGTTATTAGGATGGATTAGGTTAGGTTAGTTAGTTAGGTTGGATTAGCGTTAGGTTAGGTTGGATTAGGTTAGGTTAGGTTAGTTAGGTTGGTGGTGTTTGGCGTGGGTTGGGTAGGTTGGATTAGGTTAGGGTTAGGTAGTTAGGGTTAGCGTTAGGTTAGGTTAGGTTTAGGTTAGGGTTAGGTTAGGTTAGTTAGGTTGGATTAGGTTAGGTTAGGTTGGTTAGGTTAGGTTAGGTTAGGTTAGGTTAGTTAGGTTGGATTAGGTTTAGGTAGTTAGGTTAGGTTGGATTTAGTAGTTAGGGTGAGTTGGGTTAGGTTAGGTTAGGTTAGGTAAGTTAGGTTTAGGTTAGGTTAGGTTGGATAGGTTTAGGTTAGGTTAGGTTAGGTAGGTTAGGATTGGGATTAGTGGTTAGTTAGGTTAGGTTGTTAGATAGGTTAGGTTTAGGTTGAGTTAGGTTAGGTTAGGTTGGATTAGGTTGGTTAGTTAGGTTAGGTATAGGTTGGGTGGTTAGTGGATTAGGTTAGGTTGGGTTGGTGTTAGGTTAGGTTAGGTTAGTTTTAGGTTATTAGGTTAGGGTTAGGTTTAGCGTTGGATTAGGTTTAGGTTAGGTTAGGTTAGGTTAGGCGATTAGGTTAGGTTGGATTAGGTTAAGGTTAGGTTGGATTTTAGGTAGGTTAGTTTAGGTTTAGGTTTAGCGTTAAGGTTAGGTTAGGTTAGTTAGTTACGGTAAGGTTAGGTTAGGTTTAGGTTAGGTTAGGTTAGGTTAGGTTTAGCGTTAGGTTAAGGTTGTTAGTTGTACGTTGGATTAGGTTAGGTTAGTTAGGTGGTTAGGTTGGATTAGGTTTAGGTTAGGTTAGGTTGGATTAGGTTAGGTTAGGTTAGGTTAGGTTTTAGGTTAGGTTTCAGTAGGTTAGGTTTTGGATTAGATTAGATTAGGTTAGGTTAGGTTAGGTTAGGTTAGGTAGGAGGTTAGGTAGTTAGGTTAGGTTAGTTAGTTAGGTTAGGGTTAGGTTAGGTTAGGCGTTAGGTTCGGTTAGGTTTTAGGGGTTGGTTGGTTGGGTTGGATTAGGTTAGGTTAGGTTAGGTTAGGTTAGGTTGGTTTGGTTGGGTTGGTTGGGTGGGTTGGTTGGGTTAGGTTTGGGTTGGGTTGGTTGGGTTGGGTGGGTTGGTTAGGTTAGGTTAGGTTAGGTTAGTTGGATTTAGGTTAGTTAGGTTGGTTAGGTTAGTTAGGTGGTTGGTTGGGTTGGGATTAGGTTAGGTTAGGTTTAGGTAGGTTAGGTTGGGTTGGGTGGGTTGGTTGGTTGGTTGGGTTGGGTTGGGTTGGTTGGGTTGCGGTTAGGTTAGCTTAGGTTTACAAGACACTGCAGAAAATAACGAAAACTGATCTGAATATACATGAGCACATCAAGTCATAGACAAAGTGGGGGAAAACATTATAAACCAGAGAAAGGTAGAGTATCATGAATACCAGGTTGTTAATGGCATACCCAAAGGGGGGGGGGGGTGAAACAATTATGAATACGGCAGTTGGAGTGAAGGTAATCAGCCTCATGTGACGTTAACTTTGTTTAATTCATTTTTATTTCTCTTCGAAATTGCTTGTTTTCCTTTAAAATGGTAATATATAAAACTTATGGTACAGTGATACAATCTACATGCACACACACATATATATGTATATATAACGCTAAAGCCTAAACTGTAGGGTGATTTTTGACTTCAGATATGACAACCCTACAAAAAGGAAGTTTAAAGGACCTGTAAATGTGACTGACCCCTTACAAAGAAAAAAAAAAAAAAAAAAAATCTAAAAAAAAAAAAAAAAAAAAAAAAATTCAACGCCATTAAATTTTAGGCCCGCTCTCTCTTCCCACTACTAGGCTTAAGTCAACAACAATACAAACACACTGACACCTGGAAAATAAGTTCAATTACCCGGCGTGTACAGTTAAGTGAAAAAAAAACAATATAAACAAAACTCAATTTCAAGACAAATGAAAACAAAAAAAGAAATATCAAAATGAAATCAATGTAGGCCTACCTTAGACCATCGAGTTCAGTCTTCATTCTCTCTCTCTCGATGACTAGGCCTATGGTCTCGGCAAAACGCTGCGGGGAATGTGGGATCTTGCCAGGTAAGAGGAAGACCTGAAGTAGGATGAGAGAAGTCAAGGAGTATGTCCATTTTTGTACCTTTTACGAATAAAAATACCAATTTAGTTATCCCGATTATCCTTACTGTTGTTTGGTCTTCGATATCACCACTGTTACGGTTGTTATGTGTATTACTATCATTATCATCATTATTATCCAGGGGCGTCAATTTGTGGGACTCAGCTTGCCCCTACAAGGTCTGGCTCCCCCCCCCCCCCCAAGGGTCACAATCTAATGGCTTGTGTTACTGAATGTCACCTATATGAGTACAGTTATAGCTTTAAAATGGCCTTAGAATAACTTATTCCGCTTCTCTCGCCTATCCACCCTTGCTCCCTCCCCGAAGGAACACTGAAATGATGCCCCTACTGTAATTATCATTAGTATTATCTATGGTGGTTACTGATTTCGATCATTACCGTTATTCACATTTTTCCCACTTCCTACCTCCCTCTGTCTTTCCCTCCCTCTTCGTCTCCTTCTTCTCTCTCTCTCTCTCTCTCTCTCTCTCTCTCCCCCACTCTCTTCTTCCCTCTTTCTCTCTATCTCGCATTCTATCTATCTCCTCTACCTCTCTCTCTCTCTCTCCCTCCCCCACTCTCTTCTTCCTACCCTCTTTCTCTCTATCTCGCATTCTATCTATCTCCTCTACCTCTCCGTCCCACTCTCTCCCTTCCTGAATGCCTGTGTCTCCCTTTCCAAAAACAAAACAAAACAACAAACAAACAAACAAACAACAACAGTTCCGGTATAAAATTCGGACCGACTTTGGTTCGAGAAGGAAACTTAGGTTAGTATCTTATCACCCAGGGCCATCATTAAGAAAAATCTTTTGGGTGACACACTTACCCTAAGTTCGACTTTCGACGACATATTTTGATGCTGTTATTAGTCTCCTTCTACTCTCTGTCTGTCTGTCTGTCTGTCACTCATATTTTTCATTGTCCCCTTCTCTCTCTCTCTCTCTCTATCTCACTCTTTCCCTTTATCTCTCTCTCTCCCTCTCCCTACCTTTCTATTCAACACATATTAAACTCCCCCTGTCCTCTGTCCCTAACCTCCCTTTTAAGGAAGGGTGAAAATCATCCTTTTACATTAAATGTATGTAAAAATATGTAATTTTAATTCACACATAAACTATAGAAACATCACACCATCCAACTCAACCTCTAACACACATGCATGCGAAATCTAAATATACTATTCACTCACAATGGCTTATATGAACATTCAAACACAATCACTCTGGTCAACTCCCTCATCCCATCACTCGCCTAACTTCTAACATGTTTTCTCACCGTTGTTATAACACCATTCTTCAGTATCGCTCCTCGCTCTTTCCGTCATTACTCGAACCTTTCCAATTCCTCTGGTTTCAACTCTCTTATCGACGCAATCCACCACTCTCCTTTTTACTTTTTTTTTTTCATTTCCCGCGTCACTGTCAGAACCTAAATTCATAACTTCCCTCTTCAGCCAGTCCTTTTCTCCCTACCACGTCGTGAGCGTCATACCATACCCACTTCCTCATACATCGACGAATGAAAAGAAGAAGCTACTAATAAAGAAATTTGATATTACACAATCACAATACACTCACTATTTTTTCCACTCCATTCACCTTCCAACAGCCAGGCCTTCCACCCAGTAAGATACTCTACCGATTGGACCTATCCTCCTCCTTCTCGCTGGCCTACCATCCTCGGCTTTATATCCGCTAACACGCTCTATTCCTCCCCTTTTGATCATATCCCTCTCCCTCGCGTACGCAATATCCATGCTCGTCACTTCCTCACCACCTCGCACTCTCTCTGCTCTCAACCTCCTCACATATCCGCTTTTCGCGCCCACCCTGCGCATCTGCGTTCAACACGCCATCGCTTGACCTTAACCCTCACTTTCCGCTCCACGGCCTCAATCGAACACAAAAAACCATGTCTCGATTACCCGTCTGATTTGTAGTAAACATCCTTGAAGGCGCCGGGGATTGGTGTACTAGATGTAGAAGGTGTTCTACAATAAATATTGTCGCCATTCCACCCTCTAAGGCAGATGTATGAGAAGACTTCCTCACCCATTCGCTACTCTAGATTGATACTAGTCCTTGCGCTGGTTCATCTTACGCAGATGCTCGGCCAGCACACCGCCTCTTAAGAGGATATGCACTTTCAGACTTAGCCCGGCATCATTCAGAGCCCGGTGTGGCCGAAACGCGACAGCTAAGGCAACTGTGTTAATGGTGGTGATGGTGATGGTGGTAAGATGTCTCATCATTGGCCATAACACATCACAAAGCATATGTTAAATACGAATATCACACAACGTATATGTCTAATATGCATTGTCGTCGTCTATCTACGTACACAGTTCGATACATCATTCACATACAAATCACATCGATCAATCCACATCAACGTAACCAACCAAACCTGTCGTACCTCTTGGTCTAATCGCATGATGGGCACTACCGGCACATTTTTCTAATGTCTTTTCACACTATCCTCTCTATTCAATACTCTGCTAATCTAACACAACACACTCACGTAACATTCAATATGTACCATCATCATCATCATCATCAATCGCCATTTTTTCTTTAATTTATCTATAATATCATCACATTATCCAATCAATCACACAAAAATCATCAGTATCAATCATCAAGCATGATCACGATCATCATTATATAATTTTCATTATCATTACTACAAACACCCATCATACACACACTAACCATCCACGCCATCTTGAACAACTACTTACATTAACACTCATACTCCACAAACACAATACATACATACATTCACTACACACACACACAACATCTTATCACACACGCACTCGACGTCATTTCGCACTATTCTTATCGAATCAAAATCAAAATCACTCACCAAGCTTATTATTAATACCATTTTTATGGTTATATATTTTGGATTATTAATCTTCTCATCTCTCAAATCACTACATTTTTGGAGAATATTAAACCAAAATTTTCCCCAAATCATTATTATTAATTCTATTGTTATCATGATGGCAACACGCAGGTTCGAGTCACATATAACACAGATCATTATCAACCAAGAACTCATTTCTATATCTATCTCATTCCTATTACATTTGCATCGAATCTATTTTTTATCAATAATAATTAATCATTATTGATTGTGATGATGGTGATAATGATGACTTTATACCAGCAACTTATGATAACAAAACATCCGAATATTACGTTGATCAACAACATCCAATTTATTTACAGATCTATTGAGTTCTACACTAGGTATATTAACCATCAAATTTCTTATAATTACTATTATTATCTCAATTGCATCTTTACAACATTTACGTCTCATATAAACATTTCTCGTAGATGTGCGCAATGAGTGATCCGCTCAGTCATGTGTAATAAAATGAAACAGTCAACAGCACAGACAACGGAAATTGGGTCTAGAGAACCCATCATGTACCTCGAACAAAGACACACGCACACATATCACATATATGCACATAAATCAATTTTACATCTCTTGTTTGGAAGCGACATCTGTCCAGTTCAAGCATAAACCATTGTGAATTGTAAAATGTAAAATCGTGGCAAAGGTTATTCGGTTCTGCATTTGGTCGGATTACAAATGAGTATGCGTTTATAGGCCATCAGATTATACACGACATCGCTTACTACGGCACTATCTCGCACGTGTGACATATGGCTCATCGACACACCACACAACATCCGCACAGTATCACTATCGCTCGTAAAAATAATACGTATTACAACATGTCTTAACATGCAAGAAAAACAAAGCCATCTCTACCACATACTGACAATGCAAACACGCTCAACAGACAACAAAAAACAAACATAGCATACAAACAAATCACAATATGCACGCAAGACAAACAAAGCACAAACAACATCATACAAACATTGGCAACGCAAACAAAAATAATCATTCAAATATGCACGCAGACAAACAAACAATCATACAATATGCACACAAACAAACATCATTCAAATATGCCACGCAAACAAACAAATAATCATGTCCATACATGCAACGCAAACACATACAGACAAACAAACCTACATAATCATAAACGATGAGGGAAAGGGGAAGAGAAAGAGGGGAGGGAGGGAGGGGAAGAGAAGGAAGGGGAAGGAGAGGGAGGGAGGGAGAGAGGGAGGGAAGGGAGAGAAGGAGGGGGACAGAGAGACGCGAGGGGAGGCGAGGGAGGGAGGGAGGAAGGGAGGAGGCACACACACACACAGAGGGCGAGGGAGGGAGGAAGAAGTAGCAAGCGCACAAGGAAGGGAGGGAGGGGAGAAACGCGGATAAGGCACAACGAGCAAACAGAAAGCGAACGAGCAGACGGACACAACGGGAGAGAAGGAGGGAGGGAGGGAGGAAGAGGAGGGACGGCCGCGAGGGAGGGAGGCAACAGAGAAGGAAGGGAGGAAGGCGAAGATGAAGGGAGACACAGCGGACAGCAGCCAAGACACGCACAAGCGGAGTTAGCAAAGAAGGGAGGTGAGGGAGGAAGAGGAGGGACGGAGGGAGAGAGGAAGGAAGGAAGGGAGGAAGGAAGAGAAGAGGAAGAGGGAACGAGAGAAGAAAGGAGGGAGGGGAGGGAAGGAATAGGAGGGACGGAGGGAGGGGAGGAAAGAGAAGAAGGGGGAAGGAAGAGAAGGAGGCGAGCATACACGCAACACACAGGGGAGGGACGGGAGAGAAGGAGGGAGCACGACAGCACGGAGGAAGAGGAGGGACGGGGAGGGAGGGAGATAGAGGAAGATAAGGTGAAGGAAACGCACGCACACACAGAAACGTAAAGGCACACAGCAAGGGCACAGACACAACACACACACCACACACAGCGAGGATTAGGGACGACAACGCACAGCGCAAGAGAAAGGAGGGACACAGCAGCGCAGTGCAGCACAAAGAAGTAGGAGGGAAAACGTTGGAGGGAGGGAGGTAAGAGAAGACCGGGAGTGAAGACACAACGCACACACACACACAAAGGGGAAAGAGAAGGAGGGAGGGACGGAGAGAGCAAGGAAGGCGAGGTGAGGCACACGCGAGGGAGGAAGAGGAGGGACGGGCGAGGGAGGAGAGGGAAGAGAAGAAGGGAGGAAAGCGAAAGCAGAGGATAGGACGGGAGAGAAGGGCACACACATCACAGCGAGCAGACGACGGACGAGGGAAGAGGTAGGACGGAGGGAGAAGGAAGAGACACAGAAGGGAGGAGAGGAAGAGAAGCGAGCGCGCACCGCACAAGACACGGGAGAGAAGAGGGGGAGGGAGGAAGAGGAGAGGGACGGCAGCGGAGAGGGCAGCAGGAACACACACCAGGCACACAAACGCACACAACGACAAGAACAACAACAAAGCGACGAGGAAAGGACAGACGAACACAAGGAGGGAGGGAACGGGGAAGAGAAGGAGGGCAGGGGAGGCGAGGAGAAGGGCACACCACACACACCAATAACACCCAACACAACACACACACACATTGACCCCACACAGTAACAGACAGACACAACACGGACGGAGGGAGTAGGAGGAGAAGAGAAGAAGGGAGGAAGGAAGAGAAGGAGGGAGGGACGGCAGACGCACAACAGCAAACAACCGCAGGAGCGGCAGGGGAGGAGGAAGAGGAGGGACGGAGGGAGGGAGGAAGAGAAGAAAGGGAGGAAGGTAAGAGAAGGAGGGAGGAAGGGAGGGCGAAGGCGACACGGCCACGCACGGAGAGCGCACAGGTCCACATCACCCACACACAGGTGGAGGGACGGTAGAATCACACACACACGCATGCGGCTCAGAAAGAAAGAACGGACAGACGAAGTTAGAAGAGAGGCATACGACAGACAAATGAGCAGGAGAGAGAACAGGAACGGTAGATAAATAGATACGTTAGGTAGAAGAGTGTAAGAGGAATGATATAGGTCTAGAAACATGACTAATAACTCATTTAGAGAGGGGCGCCATTAATTGAGTATGATAATTATGCAATATCTAGATATCTATCTATCTACCATACTCTATATCATCTACAACAAGAGACACACATAGCCATGAGTCCACACACAGCACACACGCACACCACACAGGACCACAGACAGAAGCACACAACAGAATCACACACACACACACACACAACACACACACACCACACACACACACAGCGACCAAAGAACACACCGATCACATAGTATCAACAGGACACATGACAATGGACCGTATATATAAATGAGTACGTGAAAATATACTGTAGCTGAAAAAGATACGGACAAACATTCATTTTCCAGAACTTCGTCTAGCTACAGAGAAAGGAAGCGGAATAAAAGAGAACAGAAGTAAAAAAAAAAAGAATATGAATAAAAAATAGAGAGTAAAAAGAAATCTATGACGAGAAGAGCTTGCGGCAAGGAGGGTGAAAAACGAAGAATGAATAAACAAGAAGACCATTTTTTTCATCAATCAATCGATTAGTGACGTGAGTACAAAGAAATCCTTGGAATATGGAAGTAAGGACGAATTTCTTAGGAAATGGTAAGGAAAGTGGAAGGAGCAGGAAAATGATGAGGGCGAAGATTTTTTTTTTTTTTTTTTTTTTTTTTTTGTGGAAGATCCTTAGAAGTTATAAGATGTGGATAATTGAGTGAGGACGTTTAAACATATGTCTTTTTAATCATGTATGATTATGGTTTGTAGAGTATGATTGATATTATTATTATAGCGAAAGGGAGGCAGAGGTGATTATAATGAATGTTATTATGTACGAGTTATTGATTTATTACTAAAATGGGTTATGCATGTATTATGTGCATTACTGTTATGTGATACGATATTAATATCTGGTAATGTACAATTATTAATAATTTTTGTTATTTTTGGTTGCTGCTTAATTTTTAGTATTGGCTTTGTTTATCATCATTATCAGTATTTATGCCTTTTTATCATTAAATCTTATATCATTATCATTATCTAATTATTATATCGATTATCGTTATCATTATTAATTATAGTTATTGTTGTTGTTCGTTGTGTTCGTTGTTGGTTGTTGTTGTTGTTGTTGTTGTGTTGTGTTGTTGTGTTCTTGCTTCTTCTTCTGACTTGTCGAGGTTGGGTATACTTACTTTGACGCCTCGACCTGGGTATATGCGAGGGGGGGATGTGAGAGAGAGGTGAGAGGAGAGGAGAGGAAGAGAAGGGAGGCAGGGAGGAAGAGAAGGAAAGGAGGAGGGAGGGAGGAAAGAGAAGGAAGGGAGAGGGAGGGGAGGCAAGGAGAAGGAGGGAGGGAAGGGAGGGAGGAAGAAGACGGAAGAGGGAAGGGTAGGGAGGAAGAGAAATGGAGGGAAGGGAAGGGAGGGCAGGGAGGGGAGGGAAGGAGGAGGGATGAGGGAGGGGAGGCGTAAGAGAAGGAGGGTGGGAGGAGAGAAGGAAGAGAAGGATAGGATGGGAAAGGCGAAGGCGGCGGGGGGGAGGCGTGGGGAAGAGGAGACGGAGGCGGGAGGGGAGGAAGGAGAGGGAGGGTAGGGGAGAAGAGAAGGAGGCAGGGAAGGGGGGAGGGAGGAGGGGAGAGAAACAGGAAGGGAAGTGGGAGGATGAGAGACGGAGGAGGGAGAAAGGAGGGAGGGAGGAAGAGAAGGGAGGGAGGGTGGAGGATGAAGGAGGAGGGAAGGAGGAAGAGGGAGAGGGGGATGGGGAGAGGAGGGCATCGAGAGGGAGACGCGAAGGGAGAGAGCAGAGAGGGGGAGAGGGAAGAGAGGAGAGAGGAAGGGAGAGGAAACAAGAGAGCAGACTAAGGGAGCGCATAAAAGGGAGAAATGAAATGAGAATGAAGAGCTTGAGGAGAGGGAGAGAGGAGATAGGGGAGAGAGTAGAGAGATGAGGGAGAGAGAGAAGAGAGTAGGAGTAGTAGTAGAAGAGAGCGAGAAGAGAGATGAGAGAG